ACCGCTTTGGAGTGAAACTCTTCTGGCTTATCCTGTAGTGACCTTCAGTCTTTAGCCTTCCAGCTTTAGTTTAACTTACGCATGCACTGACCTTTGCTATGGAAACGATATAGAAACACAAAAACAACTTGGCTGAGTTTCCTCCGCAAAGCAGTGGGTGGTGTATCAGTATTCTATTACAGAGGAGGGTTTCTAGAGGTCAGTAGTGACAATGTGCAGCAACTTGCTAGTTGACTGCAGCATGCTGTTTGCTACTCCTGGGAAACTGGTGCATCGTTTTTTAAAATTAAATTCCTAACTCTTTTTTTGGTAGTGTGCAGCTCTAGGATTGCACGTTAGTAGAGTAAAAGCTGGAAGATGTGCTTGAAAATATACCTTGTGCTCAACCAGTGGTTTGAGCTGCTCAGTCTGTGAGTGACCCGTGACTGAATCTTGGGCAGACTGATACAATAAATTGCCACGGTGTCTTCGTCATAAGCATTCTGTAGCACTTCCCAGTGGCTTGTAAAATGCTGTTCAATACCTATGGTTCTCATTTGTATGTACGGTGTATTCCTTACTAAGGTGAGCTAAAGGTACAGATAACCATGGCTTCATTAGGTATTTGAGCAAAATGTGACATCTGTTCTTTCAAGTTAAGGATGTGTTTTATTGAAGAACAGGTAGCAATTTTTTTTAACTGACTTGGGTGTTTGGGCTCTTCAACATACAGAGCTGTGCCTCAACCAGATGGGGTAATAAGAAAGTCTTACCCTGCTGTCAGTGAAACTAACAGCAATCAATATTTTTTTCAACTGATAACACAACTGTATTTACAGGGCGTGCATTTTAAATGCCAAAGTGTGTCATTTTTCCTGATCTGAAGTTGATTTGGGGTAGTAAGTCTCCTTAATTAGTCACAAGACAGGTATTGCATCAGTAATAGCAATTCAAGCTCCAAATACCATGTTTCTTTTAGGGGAGAGATGACACCATTCCTCGGAGACGGAAGGTAGTTCAGATTCTGTGATAATTCAGCCTGCAGTGGGGACCAAGCATGGTGGGCAGAAAGTTCTGCTTTGCTTACTACGTAATGGTTTTGTTTAGGCAGAGACATCCCAGGCCTATTCCCACCAGGATTATTCATGTAATGGACTTCAGAATGCTTTCACACTCTTCACCAAAGTGCTGAAAGTTGCCTGTGTTAAATAAGGCAAATACTTTCAGGTGAATTGAAGTAATCCAGCCTTGTCCCCTGTTTTCGGGAGTGGTATGAAGCGGGCTGTCTGTGGTGCTAGGCACAGTGTGCTGGCTTTGCTGGGGGCTTTGGATAGTTATGCAACAGCAATTACATGGGATGGGCAGGCATCTTCTCCACAAGCTATCAGATCACTACATACCTACCCCTCGGCTCGCTGGCCCCCACAGACTCTTCTGTGTTACAGGCACTGCAAATTTTGTTTTACTCTTGCAGGACCCATGTCCTGCCTGTAGTTGTCAGCTCACTATCACAATCTCTCCAATTGTTTCAGAGTTTTAGCTAGTGCTTATGCTAATGAGACTAGCTGTCTCGTTAGCACCCATAGCTTATTAAGCTTACTGTCTGTGTTGCCGTAAATACGGCTGTTGGAAACGTGGACACTGTACAACCTATTTATTGCTTGCTTAAGGCACTGATACGTTTCCCTTTTACGGGGAGCCCATGACTGTGGTCAGGCCCTGAATCACACTTCGTAACATGGGAGACAGGGTCATTCTTTTCTTCCCCACTGACCTAACTGCCACACTTACTTGTACGCGGTGCTTGTGTTTATGGCTTTACGTAGTTTTTCTTTTATGCTGTTCTCTTCTAAACCTTGAATAAATGCAACAAATCATCTGTAATGCAAAGCTGAAATTTATACAGACTGCCCCCTTGCCCAGTATGTTCCCACTCTGCCTAACCATGTATGTGTTCCAGTACCTTTAACCGGGCTTCATCGCCACGCCTTTACAGCAGTTCACTGGGGACAAAGTCGTAGCGTAAGCGTCCGACTGACACATTTCAGGGGGAGGCTTGGCTTGTTGGTTTGGTTTGAGACTGATTTACACTAGCATGGCTTACTACAGACCTCTTTTAGTTATGACATGCCTTATTTGTATGTTTCTACATTAAACGTGTATAGGTTTCTTGTAAATGACTAGAAAAGTGTGTTCTGCTTCCTTGTAGTTTCCTTGGGGCATTGGATTTCTTGTTTGTTTCCATTTAGTGTAATACATAAACCGGAAGGAAAGTGACTGAAGGTGGCACTACCTTAGAATCATAGAATCATAGAACGGTTTGGGTTGGAAGGGACCTTAAAGATCATCTAGTTCCAACCCCCCTGCCATGGGCAGGGACACCTTCCACTAGACCAGGTTGCTCAAAGCCTCATCCAGCCTGGCCTTGGACACTTCCAGGGATGGGACATCCACAACATCTCTGGGCAACCTGTTCCAGTGCCTCACCACCCTCTCTGTGAAGAATTTCTTCCTGACATCTAATCTAAACCTCCCTGATTTCAATTTATACCCATTACCCCTTGTCCTATCACCTTGTGGGGTGTGTTGTTATTTCTCCTAAGCTGTGGTAACATGGTTTCACATCTCGGCTTGAGTACAGCAAAGGGGCTGCAGTGAGGTGAGACAGCAGCACACAAGCCTGTCAGACCAGAGTATCATCCAGAAAATGCACTTGATAACTTCCTGCTACGTAACTAATTGGGGGGGGAGGGGGCGCATTTTTTGTCAGACTTTTTCCCACTGCTTTCCCCTCCCACAGCATGCTTTGCAGAAACCAGGCCTTATATGTCTTCCATAGCGTATCTGGGCAAGCACAGAGGGCAAACCTTTGCTCAGGAATAACAGAAGCAACACTGGTGTTAGCCATGGCTTTGGGCAACTCAAATGCAGTGTCTGGCCGCAGAGTCTCATGGGCAACACCACTGCCGTTACGCTCCTGCTCCGTGCAGGCTTCTGTAGGTGACGCCTTCTCCACTGATTCTAGACAGAGCAGCTTAGTTTTATGAGTATCCCTGCCCCATGCTGTCCCTCCCTCTCTCCCCCTATCACTAGTATCTCTAGAGCTGGGGGGGTGTGTGTCCATTGTTAAGGAAGGGGAAGACGGCTGTAATTGGAAATCAGCTTTGTCACAGTGACCCCATTTGGAATCTATTCAAATTTTTGAATGGGTCTAGCTTGTCACTTATATAATTCCCCGTATTAAAGCAAACACATTTAAAGAACGTCACATTTAGGCTGTATTCCATTGTGTTAAGATTTAATTTTAACTTGGAGGAGAATGGATGGTGGAGTCAGTCGCAGAACTCGGGACGAGATGGCTGCTGTAAAGACTAAACTTCTACATGTCCTTGAACTTTCTCTAAACTCCTAAAATAATCTAGACTCATAGAAGATATGCCAATATTCATTTGATATTAAAAAAATCTTTTGGGAAGTATAAAAAGGAAATGGTGCATTTATGTATGTAAGTGCTGTAAGAGTCCCTCTGCTCCACTATCAACAATAACTGTGAGTAAAGCTTGTGGTTTGCTGTTGTATCTAGGTGGATTAATTAGTGAGAATTGCATCTTGGACACAAGCATTCATGGGAGGCTGAAAGCTTTGAGGATGGCTCTTTAAAGTTCCAGGCTTCTGCCAGAAACCACATTTCTGTTCGTGATTGAGGAAGCTCTAACAAAAGTGACCAGACTCACAGAGGGGTCACAGCCGTAACTTGGCTGTAGCAAACAGGCCTTAGTGTGGCATTTGTAACCCTCGCGGTAGTAGTGCCGGGAGGCACAAGGTGGTGCTTCTCATTTCTGGGTGTGGATGTACTTTGGGTTTCTGCACTGCTGACTACTGGCGTTAAATTACTCTTGTAAGTAGGTTAAATTGACACGGGTTTGTTTGGTTTTTAAGTGTTAGTTCTGTAAAGAGCTTGGATGATATTGTTGTGTGACCAAATAACTCTCCCTAGAGACAAAAATATTGACATGACAAAACCACATTTAAAGACTGACTGTCTGGCCCTCCCTCCAGTTTGATGATCAACTTGAACCTAAGTTGATGGTGAAGTCGATGAGATGTAAATTCGTGGCACTGCTCTTTAGAAACTGGGTAACTTGCAGTGTCCATCAATCTGCCAGTTACAGGAAGGTGAGGTGAACTCGGTGGGTTTGTAAGACATCTTTTACAGGCTTCAGATTTAAACTGCAGTGCCTAAAGGAAACTTGCATGTTACTGTTACTTAAATTTGTTTCCCTAAATCTTCTGGATAATATGTTACCCAGGTACATCAAACTCTAAAAGAAAAGCCGTTTTTTGGGGTTTTGATGTGTTTTATTGGGTTTTTTTTGTGGTTGTTCCTCCCCTGCCCGATGTTTCAGCATGATTTGTGCCTGGAATTACTACTGTTGGCTCGAGCAACAGGTGGTTTTACGACAACCACCACCACAATTAGTTGTTGTGTTTATGAAAAGGAAAGAAGCATTAATTCACATTTATCAAATTTTGGTTTTTTAAACATTTTTTGTTGCCAGAAATAAGCCATACTGGATTTTCTAGATAAGAATTAAATGTTATTTTAATACATTTGCATTCACAAAACATCTTCACTTGCATAAATTCACTATTGCATTCCATAGTAGAAAAACTAAACCTTAAAATATTTTTAGTATTTCTAGAATCTAGGTAAAATTGATAATTCAGCTTTGATTAAAACCAGTATCAGAAACTCACCTATAACATAGCATGGCTTTGACATGGAAACTTTGTAGATAAAATTATTCTTTTCTCTTTGAGAGATTCTAAGCTAATAAAGACATGGTAATACTCACTTGTTCTGTATTCATACTGGGGGACGGATAGCCATGCTCTGAGTTTTGCAGAGATTGAAGATTTTCAATAAACACTGCTCTTTGCGAGTTGTGTGTGCGCAATGTAAACACTTACATGCAATGAAAGCCCACTAACGTTCTGATGTTACATCTCCTTTTTCGCAGCTCCTAGGCTACAGTGACAAGCCAGTAAACCTGCAGATGTTCATCGGAACAGCGGATGACCGCTACTTAAGGCCGCATGCGTTCTACCAGGTGCACCGAATCACTGGAAAGACAGTTGCAACAGCTAGTCAAGAGATAATAATTGCCAGCACAAAAGTTTTGGAAATACCACTTCTTCCTGAAAATAATATGTCAGCCAGGTACATTGCAGCAGAATGTAGCTGTTTATTTGCTGTGTTGGTGTTCTGGGGTTTTTTGTTTTGCTTTTACAAAAGTGAAAGAAAAATCCTGCAGAATATTGTGTTTTCCACAAATACAGGTAATGATTAAGGTAGACACATCTCTTTAAACATGCCAGTATTAGAAGATAAGTGCTCAGGTAGTCAGAAGTAAAGGAGTTGAGACAGGGAAATTCCCAAGACTGACGGGGAGATGGAGGAGTGATTTTGGGATTATACTTCCCCATACAATCCATACATATATGTAACTCCACGCTGTAGAATTGCATGTGGGTTACTGGCTAGTAGAGTTTTTGTTTATAGAGTTTAGCTGCTTTTTTTCTATGACTAAATGTGGTGATTTCAGTTCTGGTATCTTGGTAGGCCTTTTCCTTGTTTTGATTATTTTTTTCTTATATTTAGCAGTTGCATTATTCTGACCTTTCAGGTCTTGCCAGATAGAATGGGCTCAGTACTAGTTTAGTGGTTAGTTACAGCAGCACTTAAACTGCTCTGTTCTAGCTTGGAGGGTCAGTGAACAGAGTAAAGCAGGGTTATCTGTTCATGCAGCACGGATTTCTTAGGTAGGCTTCTGGAGCGAGCTTCGATTTCCCTAGTTACAGGTGCCATGCTAGTTCCAGTGAATGCTGTGAACCCACGATGCGGTGCAAGGTAATGCTCCGCACAAACTCACGTACACGTGTTGGCTGATTCAGTATGTGTCTCACGGATAATCAATAACCATGTGGAATGGTAGCGGGGATTTGATGGCTACACTCTTGTCCTTCCAACGGTGGAACTAAACATAGGTGTCTCGCTCCTTGTCAGTGATGTTTACTATGTCAAATAACTTACTTTGAAGGTTAAGTGATATGCAATAACATAATCTTTTAAAGGGTCAAAAAAGCAGCAGCTAGACACTTAGGAGACAATGTTTCAACACCGGTTTTGACACTAACAGATCTTTTGGTCTAGGATAACATGGGGAAAAAATAGAATGATCTTCATTCTTTAACAAAAGACAGGTTTGCAGAGTCTACTTTGGCCATAGTTTGATTCATTTTCTTCCATTTCTCTCCTGATCCGTCCATCCTCACCTATCTGCAGTATCGACTGTGCGGGTATTTTGAAACTTCGCAACTCGGATATAGAGCTCCGTAAAGGAGAGACGGATATCGGAAGAAAGAACACCAGAGTGCGACTTGTGTTTCGTGTTCACATCCCGCAGCCTAGTGGGAAAGTCTTATCTCTGCAGACTGCTTCCATACCTGTTGAATGCTGTAAGATTGCTTTAACTCTACATCATTTATTGTCATGTTTTCTGCATGTGTCAGTAGTTTGTCATTCTGACAGTATGTGTTGTCAGAAGGATGTACAACAAGCATGTGTAAAAAGCATTGTGCGAAAAGACCTTAGTCACTGAGACATTATTATTATTGTCATTATTTAAAGATGGTACTTGCCAAGTGCCAGCCTGAAGGTTTGGAGGAAAAACAATGGTTTAGGTCTTAAACCTGATTCTGCAGTCACAGCTAGCAGCTTCAGTAGTTCCTGTATGTGTGCAGAAGCAGCTGATGTGTCTCTGAAAATAAGTATTTTAGGAAGAACTCACACGATTTCTTTTACAACAGTCTGTGCCATTACTTGTCTTTAGGAGTTCATCACATAATACTGTATAGAGTCCCTTTGTTAAGGGCTGGCAATGCGGAATCAAAACATGACCTGAAACAATCTGAATTGTTCCTAGAATTAATTTTGTCTATAAAATACTGAAGTTATTTTTAAACCTGTATCCCTAAACTAAGTATTTCACTTGCTGTAAGTAGACAATGTTGGGTTTCATGGCTTCTTGGTGTTTCTTTTCTATAATTATATAATTTCAACATAATTTTGAAACCAAAGGTAAATCATACACAAATACGATTCATATATGTAAATAGATGGCTGGTTTACTTTCACCTGATTCTTCAAGTCAGGATCATGAAAGAAAGTCTGCTATGGTTTAAATTCTAAATAACATTTTTCCCTTGATTTTTTTTTTTTAAAGCTCAGCGATCTGCTCAAGAACTTCCTCAGATTGAGAAGTACAGCGTCAACAGTTGCTCTGTCAATGGAGGCCATGAAATGGTGGTGACAGGATCCAATTTTCTTCCAGAATCCAAAATCATATTTTTTGAAAAAGGACAAGGTAAATACTATCTTACTTTTTTTCTTGAAAACAAACCCAAAACCACTCCCTGAGCTTGACTTTAGGAAGTAATGATTAAAAAAAAAAGCTAAGTCATAAGCAGTCACCTGGGACTGCAGTTTGGGCACTGATCCCTGCACCAGTTGGCAGTTGTTACTTTCCTTCATGCAGTGAAATCTGTAGAAAAAATTAGACTGCTTCCTCCTGATCTCATGAGATAGAACATTACTCTCTGGGAGGGTGGTAGATTACATTTTTCAGTCTAACATATGGGAAATATTTGAAGTAAGGAAGAGACTTGCAGATTTTGGATAAATGTTTCTAAAACCTTTCTCTAAATGTAAGTAGTTTTGAAGGTTTGTTTTGTTTTTAAACCCATGTTCTTCCACTTTTCTGTCATGGTGATAGTGATGCAATTCCATAAACTAGAGAATTTAACACCAAAAAAACCCTAGCAAATACTTTCCATTTCTAGTTACTACAACTAGACATAATGAATGTTTTGCAAGCACCTTTGTTTGGTTCTGTGGTAGGCACAGGTGAGCGCGCACACCCACTCGGATACCCACTTGGATACACACACACAGAGTACCCAAAGGTGTTCGGTCACTCAACATTCCTTCTCCGTTCTGTAGCTCTTCAGGATCTTTCTTACACTAATGCATGAAAAATAGCTGAAACTTTAGGACTAGCTGTCTTAATACATGAGTTCCTTTTTTTTCCCTTGATTGGGACTTTAAAATAGCATAAAATCTGAACAATTTAAATTATCATTGATGTGACTTGAGTACCTGATTTGAACTTTTGGGGAAACAGTAGGAAAAGTAAATAATTAAAAAGTTTGCAAGCAAGTCCAATTCTTTGATATCTTATTATTTCCCTTAATGTTTAAGTGAAAGAGTTGGGGTCTTTGTCACTAGCAAGCAGAACATAAGTGGGGGTGTTATTACTTAACTTTTTGACACACAACTTGAACGCCTTTTAAAGAAATCCTGCTGGTGGACAGCAAGTTCCCCACTAACCTCTATGAACACCAGCAGCAGGGAGAACGGAGTGTTAGATGAAGGATAATGGGTTATGCGAGGTCAGAGCAGAGAGAGATGCACCAAGGTGATTTAATTCTCGCAGCACAGACACCTTGCCCCGTATCTGAACTACAGGCTCCTTTGGTTCGGGGACAGTGTTTGTATGAAATGTATAACCTGGGGGTATGGGCATGAAGATATGGCACGTCTTATCTCTCACATGGTGACTTAACGTGTGAGTCATCCACACTTTTGTTTGAAAAACCAGAAGTGTTAGTAGTAATTCAACTACTTCTCAAAAGTGTTTTTAGAAAAGTGGGGAATAAAAATCCCTCTGTACACTTGTACAGTTACAGTACACACTGCCTCCTTTGGAAAGAAATCTAACTGTATGTAATCACCAGGCCTGTTAAAGTGCAGAATCCTACACAGCTGTCAACCTAAGTATTAAATATTTCTAAGACTACATATTTAAGAGTGTTAGAAAATGCTTTTTGCTTGAATTATTTGTACATTTCTCTCAACAGATGGACGACCTCAGTGGGAGGTAGAAGGGAAAATAATTAGGGAAAAGTGTCAAGGGGTGAGAAACTATTTTTCTTACTTCAGAAAGCTTTCTGTTTTAAACGAGAAACTAGACACCTTCGTTGTTCTGAAATTTAGACTTCGTTTAGTAAAGTAAGTAGATGATTGGCTGATTCAGACAGACAACTGGAGACTTCTAAATTGGCCTGATACTGTAAAGTAGCCATTAAGATGATGCTTTGAAGGAACTGGAAAGAGTATGCTGGTTCTGAAAGCATAAAAAAAGAAGCTGAAAATCGAAAAAAAAAGACTACTGAAGATAATTTTGCTAAGATGACTTTTTTTCCAGTGCATTCTTTTTTTTTTTTTTAAAGCTTCATTATCCAAAATGCAATTCTGACTGCTAGAGTTTTCTTTATGCTCTGGCAGACAAACAAAGCATCCTTTAGATGATGTGTCTATTTAATTAAAAGAAGTACCTTCAGAACACTTGAGTTTAAAAGAAGAAAAAAAGTCTCCAAATAAAAGCTTGCTTATAAGACTGCTCTACTATGCAATATGCATAAATTGGAAGTCTACCAATTTCAAAATATCCGTTTGCTTTACTTCTGCAATAACTGTGCTTGTTTGTTTGTAACTAACAGCCTTTTCATTTGCATTTGATGTGTAAAACTTCTCTCCCAACCTTCATATAGGCAAACATCATACTTGAAGTTCCTCCATACCATAACAAAACCATTACAGCTGCAGTTCAGGTGCAGTTTTATCTCTGCAATGGCAAGAGGAAAAAAAGCCAGTCTCAACGTTTTACTTACACACCAGGTATTGAATTAAAAAGCTGCATTTCCTTTTGTTGTTTAAAGGAGCCATTTGGAAGTAGTTCAGACAGTCTTGTACTTTCGACAGGTAGCTAAGACTAGCTTTGAATTGTTTGTAAAATAACTTACTTAAACTTGTCTAATGAAAAAGCTGTGGTTTAGCGGGATGAGCTACAGGTCTGTGATTGCAGCCAGGTACTACTTCGTTTCACTTTTTATGGAACAATTTGCATTCTGCTTTGAGAATAATGGTGAATCTCAGAAGCTGCTCTTCTGAATAACCCTAATGATGACATGGAGGACAGTGAGATCATAGAAGAACAGGTTTTATGTGGTTCCCCCCTGCCCCTCAGATGTCAAAACCCCAGGTTTAGGTATAAGGAAGATCAAGAAATATTCCCCCACCTCTAGACATACTGCAGCATGTTGGGAGAAAATGGGCTGTAACTCAGCCAGAAGTGAACACTGTACACGTAGTCACAGTATGTTCATCCCTTCTGTTTGGTGTGAGGAGGTGGTTAGTACTAGACAAGCAACGCCTGCTCCTTTGCCTGCCACTTCGGCTCCTTCCTTTGGAGCTATTCATACTCACTCGTAGTTGGAATTCACAGGTACCAGTGATGGCGCTAGACCCTTTAATACTGTTTGGGGGACTTGGGTTCAGGCAGCTGTAGGAGTCTTTGAAGTCAGATATAGATATTAACATAAACTACTTAAAGCTAATGTGTATGCTGACAAAGGCAACTTCGTTAGTTTACACTGTTTAAAATGTTTTGCTCACCTGTGCTCTACAATTACCTGCATCCATGCACGCACCATTTAAGCGATGTTACTCGGGTGTCTGGCACACTGAGTAGACGTTAATCGTGTTACCGGATTTACGTGGCATTTCTTCAGTCATTGTTAAGATTAGCAGCTCCTATGGTATCTCAAGACACATCTTAAACTATATTTTTGTTTGAGAGATCTGTAATGACACTGCTTAAATAAGAAGCAAGTTTAATTATAATGGCAGCTATTACTGCACAAACGTTTTAAAAACCACTTTATAAATATGTGTAAGTTTCTTTAACAGTGTATTGTATAGTTATTGAGCAGTTAAAAGTGTTAGCGTTTTTCTACTATTAAAATCTTCCCAAGAGCCTACCAGCTGCCTTAAAAAAAACCCAAACAAACAAATTGTTTAACTGAAAGTGAGTCAGTTTGTAATTCTATTGCAAGAACAATTGTTACCATCACTGAAATCGGTGAAATCACTGAAAGAACTGCTGTAATTAAAACAACGGGCTACTCAAACTCGTGTGTGTTGCCAAAGTTCAGCTGTGATGGTGATCCGAGGGTAAGGAGAGTTTGAAGCCTGCTGAAGGTTTCGTTCACCTTTTCCTGGTGCCTGATACTGAGCGAGGCCCAAGCAGCCGCCCCCCCTCTCCCAGGAGGGTGTTTTAGAAGGGAAGATAACTGCCTTTGAGTAAATGCTAGGCGAGTTGCTGTGGCCTTTAAGGGTTACTGCAATGGGTGTAAAGTCAAAACAATGAGAGCAGAGCAAAAGAAAGGAAATTAGAGCAAGGATGTTAACAATACTGCTGTGGCTGTTAAACAGCAATGAGTGGGTGTTTACCACAGGGTACAAACGGGTTGGAATTGTAACAGTGTTTTTCCTTTTTCTAGTTATAATGAAACAAGAGCACCGAGATGAGGTAGATTTGTCTGCTGTTCCGTCTTTGGCCCTGCCTCACACAAGCAACGTCCAGGGACTGCATTCTATCCGAACTCAATTGCCTTCACCAGAGCAAGGGCATCCACATGACAACTTGCTGTCTACGTCCCCCAGGAGCCTTGTGTGTCCAGTTCAACCACCGTACACGGCAATGGTGACCTCGGCAGTACCCCACCTGCCACATATGCAAGGTAGAAACCTCAGCCCAAGCGAAGAGTGTCATGTTTTACCTCCTGCAGTGGTTCAGTCTTTTCAGGTAACATCAGCACCTCCGGTGAGGCCTTCTTACCAGCCTATGCAGTCTAACGATGTGTACAATGGACAGTCTGGTCTTCCCATGAACTCTGCCTCCAGCCAAGGCTTTGATGCTCTTTCATTTCAGCAAGACACAGCTGTACCTCATTTGATAAGCCTTAGCTGCCAAGCTCTGCCACCAATGCAGTTTCATTCTTCAAATCCAGGTTCTGTGTCAACGTCGAGTACAGCAGGGCACCCACTAGCACACCCAGCTCATGCAGGACAGTCTTCTCACCTACCGTCGATGGCATACCACTGCCCCAGCGCTGGGCAGGGCTCCATCCCTTCTGCAATGAGCCGGTCCCTTGGGCAGTCTTCTCCCCAGCTGCAGCAAGTCCCATACCATTCTACAACTCCAGCATCCGCTTCGTCCCCATCCCCAACAGCTTCCCACCCTTTGGTCCATTCACCGCTGTCTGGACCTTCTTCACCCCAGCTACAGTCTATGCCTTACCAGTCTCCTAGCTCAGGACCCGCCTCCTCTCCCCCGCCAGCCACTGTAAGTCACTCGGGACAGCACTCCCCTCAAGCACACAGTCCAGCCGTGGGAGGTCTTACTGCAGCACCATCCCTGGTGCACCACGCCGTGTGTGATTCATCTCCGTTTTCACCAGACGGGGCAGCTGTTAACATTAAACCGGAACCTGAAGATCGAGAACTGAATTTTCAAACGATAGGACTGCAGGACATCACACTGGATGATGGTAAGTGGATATCCTATTTTAAATCTGGGATATAGTCTACATTAGGCTACAAAGTGGGTGCGGGAGGGTTGTTTTGTTTAGAACACTCTCCTCTTCAGAGAATTATGTTTGTATCCTCAAAATGGAGTGGGTTTTGTTGAATGTGTGTCCAAAGCTAATTAAAACTGCCAATATCGGCTGTAAATCTGCAGTTATATCCAGTTCAAGTTCCTTAGTCTAATTTTACCATAGACTGTGGTTTTTGTCATAAAACAGGCCTTGAGGATTACCTCCTACATACTGACACCTTACATAGAAGGAACTAATTTGAAGCCTTTTCTGGTTGTCTTGTTGATGGGTTTCAGTGAAAGTCATAATACATCCAAGTTGCTTAAATGGAGTTTGGAGTCTTGTTTCTTGGACCTGCCAGTGTTTTGAAGGGCAGGCTAGCTTTTGTAAAACACATCACATGCGTTTTGCCACTGTCTTCGTCTCTGCAGACGTTCTGTAGATACGCCGTTACCGTTCAGCACCTGCGCTCACAGGAGCTCTTCGCTTCCTCCTTTCCCCTCTGGCTTCCTTTTGAGAAATTCCCTTGTTTAGCATAAACAGAACAAGGATGCTCTAGTGCTGAAGGCCAGGTTATAGAGTTCTCTAAATACTTGGACAGTGTTGGTTTACTGAACTTGTCCAACCAAGTGAAGAGGCAGTGATATCAGACCCTAAGCATCAGACTGTAGATGCAAAGCAATTAAAGAACAGGTCATGTTAGTAAGACTGGAAGAACAGAAGGCCTGGCCTTAAAAGTTGTTTGGTATTGATGATGGCAATCTTACTGGGGTCTCTTTTTCTGTTAGGGTTAGGATTTGCTGTTGCTGTTGTTACTTCCAGTCAGCAGTAAGACAATTTAATAAGAAATGCCCTTAAAGACACAGTAGGAAGAAAAGGAAGAGGAAGAAAATGAGAGAAACTGGTAATATAGTTGGGCTTTTGGTTAAATGGCCACCCTAATTAAACAAATTTCTTTTTTTAAAAGGAAGGGAGACCGATTATGCCAGGGATTTGCTGAGGGGAGAAGAGCAAGGCTTTATGAAATAGAATGCAACAAAAAAAATCAGCATTTTCTACTTCTGCACTAGAGGAGTGAGAAAGAAATCTAATGGTTCAAGGAGTGTCACATTGGAACCGACCTTCTCATCCTTCTTCCCTCCCCACCCACGAGAGATGCAGAAATAACAGCATACAACTAAATGCTGAACATAAACTTTTCATAATATAAGCAGAAGGTTTTAAGCATTTATGACTATCTTGGCAGTTTGTTTACACATGTTCAGAAATGTAAAAAAGAAGCCAGGGTTTTCCCCTATATCACAAATATTAGTTACTTGTAGAAACTATTTCCATTGCTTAACAGGGTGGAATGAGAGTTGTTTCTGTGCTGGTAAAGACATCAGATCACAGAAAGAGCTGCAAGAGCTACACTTCAAGTGTTTAGAGAAGTATAATCAATATACATGAGTCAAGTGGTCACAGCTTTATTAATTTATTTTTTTTTAATAATGCTTGCTTTGGAAGTTTAAAGAAGGTCTGATAACTAGGGATTAAACTCTACACTTCCTCTGTGGACAGTCGAGCGTGGTTTCAGATGCCGAACCAGCACTTGGCAGCCACAGTATGCTTGCGAGTGCAGATGACCTTCGTTTCAGTATAATATTACTGCCATTCGATGGCTGCTTGGGGAGGTTGGGTTTGGGCTTTTGGGGGTTTTTTCATTTCCAATCCACAAATGCAAATCAGATGTCTAGCCTGAAACCTGCTCTTCCAAAAATCTTTGGGGGCACAGTGACAAGAAACAAGCTGCTCAATTCTCATTAACATGAGTAAATACTTCCTCTGCTTAATCGGCTTTAAGTAAAAAAACATGTCCAGACAGGAACACTTCTTTGTACTGTGTCTAACACATTACTGTGCTCTAAAAAACAATTTCAGGGTTTTTCTTTGTGTGTGTATAATTGAATTTTTGTTTCTGTACAGATAGAGCTAGGCACAATTAGCAAATCAGGTGTTCTACATTAATGTTACAGCGGTCAAGGGAAAAACTGCATACCTCAGTGGATGCTGATGCAGTATGTTCTCCTGGCTAATCTATCAAACCTGAAAACTAGTTAGTTGGAAAACAGGTTTTTGAGGGTTATCAGTTAAGGCAAATAAACCTCTCAAAATAAAACACTAAGGCAAAGCCAACTGAAAATTTTATGAATCATGTCTGGATTACTTACCCTAAATATTTTAATTAGTAGTCTTACTAAAAGTAAACAAAAACTCAAAAAGCCCTGACAGCATAAATAATCCCTCTTTAACTATTTCAAAATTTCAAAATTAGCATAGTAGATCTTTTCTTTCCCAAGACAATAAAATATTTTAAGAAATTTTAACGAAATGTGAGTGTAATATGGAAGTACTACCTCCTGACAGAATTAGTTCTGGGATTATTAAACTGTTTAGTTCGTCAGAGTATGATTTAAAATCCTTTAAAAAACAAACAAACCCCACAACCAAAACAACAGAACAGCCCCCACCCTACCCCACCTACAGAACTGGCAGTCTGGGCAGTAGTTACAGGAATTCCTTTAAGCAAGACTCCTAAAAGTGAATCTTAGCACTTCTTCAGCCAACACTCGGGCCTTTTTCTTCAAAACACACTGAAAAACTCCAAGTCCACCACTTAATACGGAACTACAAAGCTGCTTCATCCATCAGTGATCAAGCCAAGAGCATCTGAATTAGTCTTGATCCAGCATTTCTTGGAAGGTACACAGTGCACAAAGATGCCAGGTGGTGACCAGTGGAGTATGTCCTTAAATTTTGGTTTATCCCTTTGCCTTCTAGCAGTTAGAGCAAGCTGGGCTCTGCTCACGCTGCGAGTGACAAAGGAATACATAATTTTAAGGCAGATCCTCTACCTGGGTGTCTCCATAAAGTACACTTTTTTTCCCCTACTGGAGTTTGTGTGGCTCTTTTTCAACAGGATCCGATTGATGTCTCTAGGCTTTTCTAATCACACTGAATTTGCTCTCGTTTAGCTTCCCATCTCTGCTTCCTACAGGCAACGCTTTCTAATTCACTTGAAGAAACAAGAACAAAATGCATGAGGACATCTAGACACAAATTTCAAATGACACCACAGAAAACAGTTGAAGCAGAACACATTTTCAAAGTAATTTTTACTGTGTGCTGCTACTAAAAAGGTGTTCTGCAAACCAGTACTACTTTCTGCTTCAGTCTTTGCAACAGTCAATCTGCACAAGCTGCTAAACTTTTGGACTGGAGCTACGTAAAACAAGCTGATTCTTTATTTGTCCCTTCTGCTCTTCCTGCCCCACGCCCTGGAATGTTGGAGAATGTTGGACCCTCTTTTTCCCTCCACATCTTTCAGCAAGCCCACCCTCTGCTCAACTCCCCAGGCTAACACTCCCAGTAGAGGCAGTGGAATATTTAGGGCTGCAAATAGATGTAAAGGTGGCAGCTGAAGTGGCAGGAAAGGGGCAGTTGGTCATTTCTGTCCCCACATCCATCACCCACGCTGCACTCTGCTCTATACGCATCTAGTAAAGGGCCCAGTTCTTCCCCACTTGAAAAACAAGCTAGTCAAAATTAGACTCAGTCCAGTTATATGATGAGGTCGTTTTGGTTTTGCCCCCCCCCCTCCTTCTGTTTTGAAAAAGTGCTGCTAGTGTGGTGGTTTACCTACCGCACTGTCAAGTTTTAGGTTTAAATCTATTCTAATACTGTTGATCTCAAATTTAATCTCTTGTGCTTTGCAGTTTAGGAGTGAGTTTACCTTGGATTTCATGGCTTTCTGCAGTGATGAGGTTTCAAACATGTACAACTCTGTTTAACCATTTTGAAGGTATTATGTTAGGCGCTATTCAGCAAATCAGGATGACCTTCTACTAATCCTCTTACATTTTGTTACTCATTGCATCTCCATTACATAAAGCTGGAGATTAGAAAATCCAGTATGTGGATTTACTATAAATCATAACTAGAAATCCTCTAACAGTTTTGTGTACATAAAGCAATAAGTCTGCTTTGTCAGGCACATTCCACACAGCATTCTAAGTCATTTGCATTCATTCATTTTCATAGTTCTGTGATAACTCTCTAGTTGATAAATTCTCTTGCTGGGAAGTTCAGAGATTATTCTGACCTTTGCTAGAAAATGTGTGTCTGCAGGTAGCTTTTTACTGCAGCTTCAGCTTCACTTCTCGAGAATCACAGGAGTAACTAAGAAGGAGGCATTGGAGAATGACTGTACTTTGTGTTTCTCTGTATATTCACAACTTGGGCATTAACAGGTCATTCTTAATTAAGGCAGAGTCCTGCCAAACCAAGCATTGAAGGTCTGCGGAAACACAGAATACTGAATGCTAGGGTCTAGATTAGCATGGAGGAGAACAGCTCAAAAGCCGTTCTCTTGCCAGTCCCACTTGAACTCGAGAAGTTCTCGAGATGTACATCTCGAACTCAAGGGCTTTTTACTGTCTCCTCAGCGCAGAACAAAATGTTGCATCTTGCCGCATGCCAGATGTGGAGCTGTGTGACAAGAACTCTAGCCTACATTCTACATGGAACGCCCGCAATATAAAAAAAAATGATAAGCGGCATTCCAAAATTTATACAGTATAAATTGCTTAGTAAGGTTTTGTTCAAACTCCTCCTTTCTTAGTATCTAGTAATAGACAGAATACTATCAGGTAGTATGGAGACAGCAGTAAAAAGCTGTTTACAACTCTAATTCTTCTCATAAGCTTCTGGGCTCCTGCAGTGAGATGCTGAAGTTGAGCAAAGGGAAAAGGCACAATGTGTGGGAAGAGACTGGGGATATACTTCTAAAAATGGGTGTTGTGAATGAACTAGAGAAGGATCTAGGCTAAGCAGAGGATGAAAAGGAAAGGGTTGGAACAGTGAAGAAAGTTGAAGAGAATATTATCCCTCTGGGGTTGTCAACAGTTAAAGGGTGCTATTTGAGTCACTGTGTTCATAAAATCTGTGCCAGCAAGGCATCTGTTGAGACCTGTTAGAGACAGCTGACGTGTAAGGAACTTCAGACAAATCCTCAAGTGTCTGCGACCAGCTCATCTATGAAATTTCTATTTGCTTCTGAGAGCTACAGAACACCTTGTAACTAATTCAGAGTAAACTCAGCTAGTTGCCCAGCTGCAAAAAGATTCCCATTTAAGAACTGGAAGGGGATAGAAACGTACTCTGAATGCAAGCAGCATGTCTACACGGTGGTGCCGACGCCTGCTATCTGGTGGAACTGGAAGGAGTTAGGCAGTGCCCCGTGACGCCGGCAAAGACACACTTGGACGCATACGTACCGCTCTCTCTGCTGCACAGCACGTGTCTTCTAGCTCCAAGGTTCACGCTTAATACTCGCTATCTTAGACTCATCTGTCGGCTTCCATGAGAGAAAGGGGCAGATACCTCTTATTAAATGAGTTGGTTTCACCATAATACGTCAATGCAGAGTGTGACATCATACCCGTGACGTGAACAGGGATCTCTGTTCCCATACCAAACGACTGCAGAGCTTGTGCTGTGACTGCAGGCACGTTCAGTCTGGCTGTACAGCCAGTGTGCACAGGAGAGCTGTACTCCTAACATTACATACAGCCTTATTGTATCAGTTAATTAAAAAAAGGTACTACTTAGTGAAGTAGTTGGCACTGAACCTGAAATGACTGAAATAAGCCTGTCTTAAGGCCAGAAATGATACCTTTCAAGGCAACCTGCCGTGTCCCTGAGCGTGCCACTGCAGACGTGGCCTGCCGTATGACTGGTTTTGATCACCACCCGACAGAATGAGGTGGCTGCTCCACCGCAGAGAAGACTGAGGGTTAATTATAGCCTGGCAGCTTTTTTTTAGGGACAGTTGACAGTGCCCTGCTGGTCACGTGGAGCCAAACCCACGCTAAATATACTGCACTAAGCAGTGTGACGTAGCTGCGGGGATTCTTCACATAAACTCAGCTGACAGAACTCTATCGGGAGCTGACACAAGAAGGCCCGTATACATGGAAACATGTGCTGCAGGCTGTCCATCATGTTCTTACCTCTGGGAACACAGCCATTCACTCATCTGTCCTCTAAAACACACGAATTCCTAGGAGGATGCAGCCGCACTACCACACCTAGAGAGTGGATACCATCTGCCATGCAATTATATCAAATTTCTTTTTGCAAAGCATATTAAACCCCCCCACTCTGTGCCACTTACTCGAGCGACGCTGCAAACAATCACACGTTCTGGAATATTTTTTGCAATCTACTTTTCTAAAATCAGTACATCTTCCAGTGTAAGTCCTGTTGCCCACACACCCTGCTTCAGTTCAGCAGTAGTAGAGGACACACAGGCTAAACTTCCAATCAGATAGTACTGCAAAAAACTGCATGGCTAGACTTCTGTAGGAAGAGATCCTGAAAACCGAATGGTGTAACTCCAGTAGCTTTTTGGTCTGCCTGTATCCATAGGAGAACTCTAATTTTAAGTTGCCATACTGTTTTGACCCAAATGTGCAGAGAATTGAGGGTTTAAAGTTTTCCATAAGCTTTTTTACTTAAGGAAGGAGCCAAGACTAAGAGGTGGTTCATGAAAGTGTGTGTTGTTGATCAGTTGAATAGATAGATCTACAGAATGTCAGTTTTCTTGATTTCTATTTCAAATCAATAGTTTTAATTTTAGGGTTATATTTGTTGTATACAAAACACATTCTAGTATTGCTTAAGGAAGTAAAAACTTTCCTCAAATGTTTATGAAATTGAGGTAGGAAGGTGTTTTCATGTGTATTTATCTGGTACCTCAAGTCCTATCTAACTTCAGTGGGTGTTGAACAGAATCTTTATGCTATATTGCACACTTTAAAAGCTGTTGCTTTATTTAGCATGTTTCACAAACTGCAAATGTTGTATGCCCGAGGCAAATGCATGCGTCATTCCAGAAGGTGCTGGTTGGAGACATGTAATGTGTGCTACACACGACTCGTTTTGTCAGGCATTTATAAAACTCAATACTGTCAAGCAGCTTCAGAATCCCTCTATGTATGAAATTAATTAGAAAAATTGCTCAGTCATCTTTCTCTGCTACAGTGATGGATAGTCCTTAACTGTATAAGCTGTGCAGACTTTATGGTGCAGAGACTGCTGCTTAAAAGAGCTAATTAACCCCACACTTCTCTTTGGAGGCTCTGTCAGTGTCTTTGTTGAAAGCCTGAGCTTTAAAGAGGGTTGCCTGTAACAGTTAGTTTGTTTCATCCCAAGGTGTAGTTTTCTGCCCATCTGCCCAGATTCATTAAATCTTTATTTAAAGGTCACTTTCTTGCTGGTTCTACCATAGTTGGTGGGTAAAATGTTCTTGTCTTCATCTCCTGTTATTTGACAAGAATTTGCCTGTCATCTGTTCCTTTCCTTCAGAATGGCAGTGGACATTTTCACTGAAACCCAGTAATGCTTGCCACTTTCTGGTTAAATACAGGTAACTTTACCCTTTAAACAATTCCACGGAAGTGATATGAACTGCTTGAATGTCAGGAGGAAGTTAGAATAAACACTCTCATTCTCCCTGGAGTCATCCCTAAGCAGGGCTTAGAAATGATGCTGGTGAAGCAAACATGTGGCCCTATCCAGGAGGCACAAATTAGCCAGTTTCCAGAGTAATTTTGTTACCTGTATTAAAGCCTGATTTACTGAACTTGCAGCTCTGTACCCAACCCAGCGTCCTCTCGTAAGCTCTGCACATTCACCAGTCACAACTGAATATACACACACTTGTTGGTTAAAGTTATAAATACACTCCTACATTCATTTTTCCTCCAGGATAAACAGTTCTATGGAATACAGTTCTCCACTCCCTCCTTGGTTTCTCACATCACCTTGCTCTGACAGAGCCACCTACACCAAGATTAACACCTAGTTTCCCAACGCTTCAAACTGTGCGTGGCCTGACTGCAGATCAGGACCTTGGGCAAAACGTTCAGTCTGAGGGCGAAGGGGCAGCTAACAGCTGTTTACAGCAACAGTTCCCTTCAGTTAAAGGACATGAAAAGAGATACAAAGGGTTTATGCACTTTTGCCTACCTTTTTAGTGGGGGTGCTGTCAAGGCGCATGAGCACTTTCCATTTGACCACAGTAAGTAAAGCAGATGGAGCAAATTGCGGAAGGAATGTTCTAAACTAACACAAATACTAAAATGAAATTTATGCAGTATAAAACTCATGATGATGCAACTAGGCAGGCATCCAAAAATATTAACCATTACCTTTATGGCTCCGGCTGCTAACTGAAAAGTGACTAAATATGCAAGATAAATGATACTGTTTTTAATAGGCACTCTGATAATTTATAAATAGTTCCTTATGTCAACATATGTAGTAGTTGTGAATGAAACTGGGTATTTAAAGTTAGTGCTGTTAAAGGAAAACTGAAAGTCACTTCCTGGTTGAGTGAACTGTAACTTCTTGGTTTAGTCCAGTCAGTAGTTATGTCTGTCTTCTTCTCTGACACAGACAGTTTTATCTCTGACCTGGAATACCAGCCATCAGGTTCAACAGAGAAATGGACTCAACATTCAGCACTCATGTCCAACTCCTATGTGGAAAATCTAGAGGGTGAGTCTGCTTACTGAAATGCTTCAATGTTTGAAATTGGAGCACGAAGGAAAGGGGAAAAGTGTTTTGATAGTCTTAACATCTACAAGTGAAAAGTGCTATGTAGTACTTAAGTACACTATACTTAATAATTGGACACCTGTGTGTTCGGTGTGTTCTGAAATAGTTGGGAATTCAGAAGTGGTGAACCAGCTGTACACTCATTCAGTAAAAACCTCCAGCTAAAGTACATATAGCTGCCACAGAACTTCCTGAGTGCTGTAGGATCCAGTAAAACAGAGAAGAGGATATGAAAATCTGCAGCCAAATATGGTCAAGGTTGTAGAGTGGCCAGATCAGTTAACTCTGAGAAGTTTAGCATGCTTCTCCTTTTTTAAAAAGATGAAGCAATGTCAATTTAAATAGATGGAATAGCGGCGTGCGCTGCCAGCCTAAGTATTAGGAATACAGATTTCGTAAATAGATTTCTAGTTGCGTGGGCACTGTAATGGGGAAAGATCATCTAGATTTATTTTAAGATGCTTTCAGCCTCTTTATTTCACATACAAACAAGATAATTATGCACTGTGACTCCTGAACAGTAACAGTATTAGAAAGTGACGCATGATATATTGGTCGTGTTTGTGTTCATACTCATCCTTAAGCGTTTTTCACTTTCTTACAAACATGTCTAAAATGCCAAAGAACTATACTGTCCCTTGTTTGTTTATATATGTGTGTGTATAAACACATGACACACTTTACTTTCCCCATGGGTTTTTAAAGGGGAACGCCTGTAAGTGTACAGTAGATTTGAGATCGTTAACAATAAAGTAACCAAGCCCTGTATAGAGCCTTAATAAAACTCACACAATTAGTCTGTAGACTGATCCTGTTTGCCCACAAAGCTAAAATAAATCACGATGTTGGTCTTCTACCATCTTTCAAAAAAACTAGTTCTGCTTTCCTTACATACTAATAACATTGTGATAAGGTGAGCAGCTACTACTCAGAGCGGCAAAACTTGGGAAAACAATTTCTATACACGAAGCTGCCATTTCTGTGTCTTGACACAGCTAATTGGTTAGCGAACTACCAGTTATGGCTTAGATGATGCCTGTGTTCTAGGCTGTATCCTCTACCTAGTAGGTACAGAATAACTGTTGAACAGCAGGAGTTCTTGAAAAAAAAACAAAAACTCAGTAATAAAATAATCTCCAGAACCCAGTATCATCAACTGAAGAGCGACTCACAGGTTGGCAAACTCCAAACTTAGACTTATGGAGTGTGCACCGACAGGTCCCGTTGTAAAAGAGCACACAAATGGAAAACCAGACCCAGAGAAAAATATGCTTATGCACGAATGCTAGCATTGGGGAAACACAGCATTTTTAAAAATCAAAATAATGGGTATTTTATGTATTTGGTGTAAGGGAGAGTCAGTGTGGAACTAATACAAGAGTTTACACAGGAAGTTAGAATGCTTAGTGCCAAATCAGACACGCTGACTGTATCAACTCTGAGTACAGAATGCTTACAGATTGAACTTCCAGGCTTAAATTAGGAAGACGACAGCTTCTAAATCATACTGCTGAACAGGAGAGCAACCGTAACGAGTGTGCTGCCGGAGATCAGCAATCCGCAAAGGCAGTAAATGCACTAATGGAATGTTTGAGTCATCCTTTATAGAACGTACGTGTGATGACTGCTTCATGGAGCACTAAGTCATGAGAAGAACCCACAAGGGGAAACATCTCTTTATTTGGTCCAAAGCAGCGTACAGGAACTGCTTCCAAAAATGTAACAATTTAAAAAAAATCTTTCTTTTTGTAGCAGTTTCAGCCTTGCAGGCTGTGACAAACTTCAGAAGGGGAACTACAGAAAAACAAGAAAACTTACTTAAGACAAAAGACGTGGTCAAAAGGGTAAAATATTTGCAAGCAGTCTGCAAGCTGTTTGTGTAAGTTCAGAGTAAGTGTGCAACTCCTGTTCAGCAAGAGAGACTACAGCTGCTTCCAAGTGCAGAAGACAAAAGAATTTTAAAATTATTTGGTTAAATGTGTGACCTGGCCAACAGGTGCCAACTCAGGAATTCAGTTATAATCAGATAAATGAACGTAAAGGCTTTTGTATTGATGCTCACAGTTGAGGAACTAGAGATTCTCATATCAAAGTCCTTTGAAAAAGGGACACGTTGCAGTACCTATCACAAGTTGAAGTGTCAGTAAAAAGGCTTCAAAACAGAGACAGTGACAATTCACCTCACAGGCAACAGCCCCGAGAGAGTCAGCACCAGTTGCACAATTAACTGTAATGCATAACTTCTTCCTGCTCCTGGATTGGGAGCCAGGGGACTGGAAGTTGGTAAGTGTGACGCTGCTGCTGCTCAGCTCTTTAGGGCAGTGAAAACCAAAAACTGTCTAGAAACTGCTACATGAAGACCTTGTGATTAAAGAGAATCTGTTTGCTCAAGGAGTGGAAACTGGGGTAAGGGAAGGAAAAAAACCCTGCCCTAATTCTATACATACAGTGACATGCTCTCCAACTGCTCTCATTTATAACTGTCTTGAATTTAAAATGGACAATTCTATGAAAACTTGCTCAGTAGTGTTAAAAGTAGTTCTAATTAGGGTGAATAAATGCTAGGAATAATTAGGAAACCAGCAGAAAACCGTAACAGATGCAGGTATATAGATCTGTAATGTGCTTACATCTTGTCCTTGCAGTCGTAAAAGAGTTGGATGCATACATGTTGTTTTGTGGGGTGTTTTGGTCAAGGACGACTAGCATGGCCAAAGATTTGGAATAGAAGTTCTGTTGAATAGAAAACCGGAACAGATGCGGGTATATAGATAGATCTGTAATGTGCTTACATCTTGTCCTTGCAGTCGTAAAAGAGTTGGATGCATACATGTTGTTTTGTGGGGTGTTTTGGTCAAGGACGACTAGCATGGCCAAAGATTTGGAATAGAAGTTCTGTTGAATCAGGTAGGACTCTCCAGCCAGAAAAATGAATGAGGCTATGCTAAGGATAATAAAAGGAATGGGTGCACGGAAACAAAAACACTTCTTGGGAGAGAAAAATAATAGAAGTGTCCACCAAGTAATCATGCAGCAAGTTCAACAGCTCTATAAAACATTGCTACAGATACACACAGTTAAGCTTTGGAACTTACTGTCTCAGAGCGCTGCGGATGACAGAATTTTGCACAGACCTAATAGACCCCAGGGAAAAAGGCCAACTGGGACCATTCATCAAAAGGTGCTTCTATGGACAAACACATTTTGGAGGCTGGTGGAACATCCTGGGGAAGGATCAAGATGTGTTTTTCCTAGGTCTCTGCCCATTACATACCTACTGGTTTGTACTCTGACCCGGTTTGCTTGTAGTTCTCCATGGTGCTTTTTCAGGCAGTATTTTTGATCTTCAAAAATCTAAAATACCTGTTAACTGCCTAGTAGAGAGATTCTCTTGTCCTATAGAAAGTACAGGTGCTGATTACCAGCTTCTTGCAAGGGAAAAGAGATTACTTGCAGTATTCCCAGAAAGGCCTTCAGGTTCAGGCCTTTGCACTCCAGTACAAAATATTTGTGTCTCGGCCTTCACAGGGAAAGGGGGAATTAAGTACAGAGCGATTTCACTGCATGCTACTATTTGGTTGGCATTTGATTTAAAAAGATAATGCCTTTACTTCTGATGTTAGAACTTTAAACACCTATCTTTGAGATCATGCTACACCTCAATGTGTTTTTATTCTAATATAAAATATTCAGTAAGGTGGTACAGGTATACAGGCTGACTGATAAATTATGGATTGGTCTCACACTGAGAGAAAAGTTAAGGTGACATTGCAGAATTGGTTAAATAAACCAGTGGGGAGAAAACATAGATCTTAAATATACCAGAGCACCAGTTCCTCTTTTAAGAAGTTGTTACTCTAAATTTGTAACTTTTTTTTTTTAATTTATCCAAAACACTCGGCAAGTTATTACTAAAACCACCAGTTTTCATGATGCTGTTGTGCTTCATACCCCAACAGCTTTGTTCTGTTCAAACCAGCTAACGTGGGTAAGTTTTTGTAGGTGAGAGTGTCTCCTGGGAGGCTGGCCAGCGCTGCCCACAGGACACGTCTCTGTTGGAACAGCTGATAAGATTACTGCCCATACACAGCTGTATGTGTCACTCGCTGCACAAATGGCTGAGCTGTTCAACCTAATTTTAGTTTATCTTAAAACTCTGGATTGCAAATTGCAACAGTTTTAAGAGATCTTCATGGACAGTCTGGCTGTTGATGCAGCAAATGGCTGGAGCAGTAGCTTTATCAGCTGTCCCAGTGCAAGTCTTCAGTGACCAAGAAGGCAGAGCCCTCAGGCAGAGCGTTCAGGACAGGGGGAGTGGGGAAGAGGCCTCCAAGGAGCCGTGGCCCAGTTCTCTGTCCATCACCATGGCTCCGCTGTCTTTCCCGTGTGCAGTCAGTAGGGACTTAAAAAGGCAAACAGAACGCTATGTGCAATCAAAACAGTAGGAACAACCCAGTAAAACAATATGTGGTTGCTCTTGTTTTACAAGCTTGACAGCAGATCCGGAAGTCAGAGCTAGTTATCTGTTCTGCTGGTACTGATGTTAGCCTGCTGCTTAATTTGGTTGAGAGGTCACAGGGGCTTGAGCCTCCAGCTGACTGTCAGTGCTTTTCCACTGCAGCATGTTCATGCTTTTTTGATGCAGCACAGAAGGGGAAGAACAAAGCCCCAAAAAATAAAATCAAACCCACAAAAATCTTTGCCATACAACACTACGGTATCACCCGTATTGACAGGTCCAATCTAATCTGTCTGTAGCCCAGGGTTTTCTCCCCACCATGTTAAATTGTGTTTTGCACAATCTATTTTTAACTATTAGTATACATATACCAGCCAACTTACACTGTGTATAAATACTAGGGAAGAAAAAGGAGAAACTATGTTGCAAATAAAGTAACAGCTGAAATTATGAGATCTGGGATAGCTGCCAAAGAGGTCAATTAAATAGACATAAGAAAGTTTCTAAAATAATTTCCATTTCACTGCCTGATCAAAAAAAAAAAAGGCAGCTTAGCATTTTGCATTGAATTGAATTTTGATCCGTGCCATACCTGACAAACAACTTTTTGAGATGTGGTTACCACTTCTGTAGCAGGGGATTGTGCCACCCCTCTCTTTTGATCTCATCCAGCCATTATTTCAAGATTAGGAACCTGGATAGTTAGCCCATAAAACATTTGATAACACTTTTGATGTTACCCACTCAGTTGACACTGATCATCCGAAACAACTGTAGGTGATCCGTAGGTACCGAGTACTAAATTTAGCTAGAGCTCTAAGCATTTAGTTTGTAGAGTATTTCTGGTTCCTCATCTCTTGACAGTAGAGGTGCAGGGTCTGGGATTGTCAGTCAGATCAGAGGACCTGGCACCAAAGAGGCAGTGATTTTAAGGGGGATGGGGAGTGGGAAGATGGTGGTAGACTTTGAAGAGTCACGGCCCTACTCACATTACTGCTCGCCTCCAGCCCAAGTCCCATGGCTTTCTTCAGAGAAGCAACAGAAGTATAAACTACACAGCACAAACGAACCTGGCAGGCAGACCATAGCGAACCTCAGCAACACACCAGAGATCCATCTCACTGCATCCTGAACAAGCTCTGCCGCCTTCCCCCAGGAACTTGTGCTGAAGGAGGGAAGGAACTTCTATAACAATAAGTTCATGTAGTAAAGAAGCCATGTGTCTTGGTTTCCCAGGATCTAGTTGCTGACTGGATCGCTTCTAAGGTTCAGCAAAAAAATCTTTCCAGCTGTATTTCTAGGACAGCATAGCCCACATACCCCATAGTCAAAAACTGGAAAGGTGGGATAAAGTGTTCTCTGCAAGCACAGGAAAGAAGTTTCCTTTTGTTTGTAAAGCATCACCAGTACAGCCTGAGCTCAGTCCTTTCTCTGGATAACTCCCTCTTCCAGTTTGTCATCTGAGAACTTGGATTTTGCTAGACAATATTGTAGAAAGCCTGTGTTTCTGCTCAATAATTACATTTTCAGTTTTAATCACAGACCACTGAATGGTGTGTGACTGACCCTGTGGAAGAAGGCAGTGTGTCCTGCATTCCAATACTAACCTTTGGATTTCTCTTTTAGTATTTATTTTCTCCATCACAGATTAATACAAAAAGGAAAACACCATATGATTTCACCTTCAGTCTTGTATGTTTCTATGCAGGATTTTAACTCTTCTTACTGACTACATGATTTACATTTAAACTTCTTTAATTTACACCAGTTCACTGTCAGAAAGACAGGTTAGTTACGATAATGCTGGTAAACACAGGATGTCCTATGTATAAAGCCAAATGCTTCCCACCTTGGCTACATGCAGGCACCTCATCATGCTGCCTTAAAGCCGAGTTGTACAGCTCCTCAGTGTTCCAAAGGACTTTCAGGCTGCCTAATTTTGCTAAATATTCATTATGGCTTCTGTACAACGTTTTTTTCCATGCTTTAAAAGACCAGCTGTCTCTAGAGAAGCTGCTTTCCTGATTTAAACACCCATTTCTCCATCATGCTAGCCTGCGTGCTGCGTTGGTACACCCCACTCATCCCTTCCACCGCTCACACGTGTGTTGGGCAGAGCGGTCCGGCCAAGGGCCCGTGCCACATGTCACTGGTTACCGCACTGCTCCCTGTCTGGCCCTGCCCAGCTATCTCCAAGCTGGCAGCCAGCCTACGGCGTAGCAGAAGGTTAGAGCACTTTGATGGCAGCATCTGGCTTCTGCAGGCTCTGCTTTCCTTGAAGCACTTCTACCATCATCTGTACATAACCTAAATCAACGTACAGTCTTCCAGAGCCTGCAAGCATCCCCCCTCTGTTGATTTGCTGGCAGATTTCCAGGCAGCTGAAATGGGCACTCTTGAAAAGCATAAAATGGGGAGAGGTGTTGGTCTGTGAAAACGTGAAAACACACCTTTGCAGACACAGCACAAAACAGATCCTGGCCTTGTGTTTAGGCTTGCATAGTGCTCTGACAGAACACCGGTTTAGATACTTCTTATTTAAAACAAACACAAAAACCCCCAAACACAACATGCATAAAATCACTCTGGCAAGTTACAACTACTCCACTCCAATTTTCTGTTGGGAAGAAGACAAGGTGCTGTATTTCCCTCAGAAATGGTAGATGTTTCAAATGCAAATCCATATAAGCCAGATAATTCTTGATCCCAAAAGTGTTGCCAAACAAGTTCTCCACCAGCAGATTGAAAGGTATGACAGAGCTACCACACTGAGCTATAAAACAGCTTCTTGTATACAAATCCATGATTGTTTTGAAACAACACACCACAAACTAACCTGTAACTTGAATTTAATACTCTGTATAAGGAGTTACATAGAACTTTGGCAGAGAGAACACCACGTGACCAGCTATTGTGTTCACAGTGCAGTCAGGTTTAAGGAAAACGTCATGCCACGTGGCTACATGCTGTTCCGTTCAGCACCTTTGCCCGTGGGAGCTATGGCACGCTGCAGCCGTGTAGGCCAATTTGTTCTGATGCTGCCAGTACACACACTGACCTATCAAAACTCAAAGGAAGGAGCTGTCTAATAATCTCGGAATATGAAGGGTATTTTTATTTATTGTACCACTCCATGCATTAGCGGTACCGAGCAGCTGCAGGGTTTGCACAAGGAACCTGCTGAGCAGGAAACAGTAGCTAAGAGCTGTTGGAGGTCCTGCAGTTCGAGCGAGCTAACGCGCGCCTGACAGAAACCATTCTCAGTGAACATCCACGTTTTATTTTTAAAAAGTCTTGGTTTTTAACAGCTGTTTTTTTGAAGCCCAGTACATTGCAAGCCTTGTCATGCTCGAGGGAATTGGCTGTTACATCGCTCCTCCGACTGTTTGAACCTTTGGGCTGCGATGCTGTGTTTTTAACACACTGTCCGTGCATTCACACATTGCCTTCGACTGCCTTTACTCACAGGTGCATGACATAAGGCAATTCTAAAGCTTTCCCAAGTAAACAAAAAAAATATAGACAACACTTGGTTTCAGAGTGGGGTTTTTACATACACTGCACATACTTCAGAGCATTCACAACGTTACTACCCTTTCTTTCAGACCCACCTATGCTACTGCTGCAGCAAAAGGCAACGCTCAGACTGTTCGACACTCTCTAAACAGAAAGAGCAATTCACACTGCCTGTAGATTGATTTTGTTGTGCTTCCATCAGACAGGAACGGTTAGTTGGAAGCTAAGAAATTAAGGAAACATCAAGAAGGGTGGTGAAGTACATCAGTATTGTTCTGTAAAGTTACCCAGTGGAGAACAATAGAGCAAAAGCCTAGGCTCCAAATCCGTTTTCTGCAGAAGCTTACTGGAGGGGGTTGGGGCGGGGAGAAGAGTCTTGTTTGTACTAGGAATGGTCCTTACTCAAGTAAGGGATCCCATTAAATGTATTTCTGGAAGGTCCAAACAAACTCATGTCAGAGGCTTTTCTATGACATAATTCAGCATACTCAAAGTCTTGCTGAAGAAGAGATACTGTATGCCAACCATGGAAAACAACACAATTGACTGCCTCTTCTAACTATTCAATAATAATTTATATTTGGGTTATCCCCTAATATTTATCATAAATTTGTCATTACTATTTACTGTGATATTTTTCATCTCCACTTAAAATATTACTCAGTTTTCTTAGTTAAACTTACTATGGCCCGTTTTGTAAAATGGACATTTATATCACTGCATTTATGCTTATCCATTAAAAGAATTATTTTTTTTCACCTTCCATCCTCAATTGTACTGCAGTCAGTTATCTAGGCTTTAGAGTAATTAATTATTATTGATAACTAAATTATTATTATCAATAAGTGCTACTTTGTCCTATGGACAGCGGTGTCCTTCACTTGTAAATAGTAGCAGTTGGCTCATCCTTACTGAATTCAACACACACAGACACACAAACTGACATGACCCGCCTATCAGTCACTTAATTCTTCACTGGAGAAACGCTGACGGATAACTAAGGAAGATTTTGTTACTGCAGTTTCAGAAATGCGAGTATTCAGAAAACTGGCCCATTAAACAGGTATAGTATTAAAAAAGAATACTCTGTTAACCCAAATCCAAGTTCTGAGGAAGTTCTATAAGTAGCCTGAAAGAGCCAAGAGTTTATTTGTTGTGCCCGTAACACCCCTGAACAGGAGGATTTCTGTGGGGAAATCTGTGCTAAACTGACCCACGCTGTGCCTTTCAGTTACCTGCTTGTCATGAGCAGCCATGGGCTCATTTTCAAGTGGTTCAGGGATTCTCCCACAGAGAAACCAGGACTTGTTTTTTGTGCCCCTCCCTCCCCCCCAGCTGTTACTGAAGTTAGGGTCCTCATTCATCTTCTGTTAATTAACTGCATCAAGGCTTAGCACTGAAATATTTCTTTTTAAGAGGGATACACTGATGGGTTCTACCTTTTGGAAAGCATTAAAAGAGTCACTTTTTTTTTTTTTGTAGTGAATGAGATCATAGGAAGAGATATGTCACAGATCTCAGTGTCACATGGAACAACAGCGGCCAGCCAGTCTGCACGTGCATGTCCTGGATCTCTGGAGACACGAATATCTGATGGAATCCAGTAACGGATAAGCTGACAACTAAACATCCATGAAAACTCAACAGTTTCTCTATTTTTCGTCCTCTTCCTCTTTAGACTTACTGTGCTTCCAACTCTGTGGCCTTTATGAACTGGAACAGTGGATCCTTGCAGAGCCCCTTTAGCGGGTTACATTTTTGATGCAGAGACAGAGCATTTTAATTATAGTTCCTCAGATGCTGTAAAGAGACTTCTTAAAACGGACACACAGAATCTACACCAGATATTTTAACTGTTTTGAAGTTACAAACAAGCTTTGCTTTTTGCATTTAAGTAGAATACTTTTATATTGTAAGTGCTTCAGATGTGTGGAGATGTTAGTTTGCTCTTATAATAGTCACAGTACTGAATGTGGAAAAAGATTTCATACACATCTGCAGTGTGCTGCTTTCCCTTAGAGATAGCATAGTTTGTAACTGGTGATTTGTAACACCTTTTGGTCATTTTGGAAAGCCTTTAAAGCTTCTGTTGTTTAATTTTTTTTTTAATACGATCTTCCAGTGGCGAATCATGCCTGTCACCTGAAGCCAATGCCGCGGAAGCCATTGTGTATACCAATACTGTAGTGTTTTCTTTCTTAGATTCATAGGAAGCAAAGCCAAATGTAGATCTGCACTTGTTTATAAACTGAAAATGTTACTTGATAGGCTGCAAAAAGACCATTCCATCATGAAAGTGTTGGGATAGAAATGACATTCCAAAATCTAGCTTTTATAACTTTGTGGATAATCTTCCTGTTCTTTATTAGCACAGGCTCCTTCTTGAAATAGCTTTTTCGTAGATTTGTAATCAAATTTGAGCAGTAGGATTTTAAAGAACAGCAACATCAAAGCCATGTTAGATACAGGAGCAATTTTAATATTTCCTGAGGATCTAAGTGTTCCTATTATCCCTACAGAATACGGTTTTGAAATCCCCGATTCAGTGGCATTCAAGTTTTCCATGCAATAAACCATCTGATCGCATCTGTATCTTTAATATGCTGTATGCCTGACCATGCCACTTGCAAGTCCTGAGGAGATGGCAATTACAGTTCCTTAAATTTAAGCTGTTTGTAAGCGTCAGTTCAGTAATAAGTTATTTACTGTGAATTAGGTGGTATAATTTGCCCATGTTTGATTGTAAACGTGCAAACCGAAGCTACCAAAGACTTACACAAGATTGCTGTGCTCTAAGGATGCATTTCCCTTACCCACATAACCCGGTAAGTTTGAAACGTGGTTTAGACGGTTATTAAAAGCATCAGGCCTCTGTGATCAGAAACCTAGGTGAGGATCTGAAACGGGCTGCTCAGGCCACAAACACTTCCCACCCCCAGAAGACACTGTCGTTTACACAGCTTTCGGCTACGGAGCACACAGGGTACAGCAATCACAGCAACGTAAGACCAGAAATACACTGAACCTCAAAACACTTACGATATTAGTTTTAGTTCCTCGTTTGAGGAACCCAGGATGTTCTAGCGAAATCTAAGAGCAAATACACTCAAAAAATTTTGAAATATTGAAAGTGTACTTGCATTGAAACTAGTTCAGTCAACTGGGGACATTTCTGTTGTTTGACACCCGTGGAGCACATACCTCTTTCTGTAGAAAATTACTACAGACTGTTAAATTACAGTAAAACGCTCTTAAAGTGGATATACCGTTGCGGACTTGTAATACTAGGTTCTGCTGATGTTGCATTTTGGCAGACAGTCATGGGGAATACTTTCCATCGAGCCTTCTGCAGGCTGAGTACCCCTAGATACCCCTGCTCTCATCACCCCTACAGTCAGCATCCAAGCACCACCACCATTTCAGTAGCTGTAATCGCACCCGTCTAACAGCCGAATCACGGGCTTTTTAAAAGAGCGTGCGTTAAGGGGGTGAAAACGTAGCTGTTGATCACGTACTTCCTTTTAAGAGTGCAGCCTAAGGCTGCTATCCTGATGTTTCAGTTATTCCAAACATGGTAAGTGCAAGGCCGCTATGTGCGTGCTGGGAATCTTAAGCATCCTTTTTGTGAATGTATTGTTAGTGGTGCAAATCCTTAAATTTGCAGGGAAAAAAAAAAGGGCAGGGCTATAATCTGAAAAGTGTGACATTGTTGTCAGCGATGGTGCTTTACTCTGTCCTCATTTATGTTAAAGATACGAGAAAAGGATTCACATGCTCAGAAATACATCTATTTATGGGTTTAACACGTTAAAAAAACCCAACCAACCCAAAAAAAAACCCACCCCACCCAACACTGTAAACTATGTAATTGTCTTCAGACTGCGTGCTGGTGGCACGGCGTGTTCCAGTTTTCATTCATGTATCGGGTCTTTTGCATTAACCACTGTTTGTAGGAGAATTCTGACTTAAAAGCTTTCATACTGTATGGGATTTCCGCTCCTTTATCCTACCGGTACAGGCTCTCCTTGCAAGTTCTCCAAGTAGCTGGAATTCACACTGTACCTAAAATATAGGAGCCCAAACAATGCGGAGTTGCTATGCACTAAATTTTCTGATGCCTTTAAATACCTTGATGCCTGTAGACATAGAGACGCTTTCCTATTTAAAAATTAAATTTTAAAAATATAGCTTTGGATACTAAAGCAGTTTTGTATTTGCCTTGTAAAAGCTTCAGTACAAGGGTCTTAATTTTATTTTAGCTTGTGTGATAACGTAGGTAAAGACTGTTAATCTTGTATAATTTTAGTGATATAAAAAGCACACAATCTCTATTGGACTATGCAAATTTAATTAAACAACAGAACCCGGCAACTGTTGATATTTTGTTGGCATCCACTTCCTTGCCCTTAAGCCCTTTCTTCTCCCTGAGGACTTTTCCAAAACTTTTTAATAATTTAGATTATCCTGAAGGAAAGCCTTAATGATGAAGTAGCTTTTCTATAAGGAAGGTCAAAGATCAATGTTAAAAAATTAAGGGGTAGCACATTAATCCGGGGGAGGGTGATCTCTGAAGTTACCATAAACTAGCAATCTGAATTTCTGTAGTTAAACACTTATGTTATCAGGGGAACTGCCGTCCTTTTTAAACCAAAGAATGAAAATAACGTGACAGTTTTGTTCTGACACAAAAGCTTTGAAACTCTATTTTTGATACTCATAATGGATGTCATTCCTTGAGGTTCGGAAATCGTTCAAATTGAAGTTTTATATTTAAAAATGTGGGACAATAAAGATTAAGTTCTAGATGTTTACAGAGCCTTGTATTGTAATTTCATGTACATTTTGTATTTTAAACATTTTTGTAAGTTATGATTGCAGTGCTACTTGCAGAAATAAAGGGAAAAACTTGCATTTAGGCTCTTAAATCATAGTGTTCAAATAAATAAAAAGAATGCAGATGCGTTGTGATTTCTTTAAAGGGCAGACCCAAAGGCAGCCTCCCTGTTTGCCATGCCGTGGTAACCGTCTACGCTCGGGTGTGACATCTGATATTCCCCCAGACACACAGCAATGTGGAAGCAATATGGTAAGAGGTTGGGGCTCAGCTTGGAGCCAGCAACAGTGAGTCTATACGTACGTCAGGAGCGACGAGCAGCGCTGACAGCACCGGTTTGTACAACGGCGAGTTCATACTTGCAAGTGTCAGTGTTTTGATTCGACGATCACAGGATTATTCTGAGAAAGTATTCTAGAAATTATTATTCGGGAAGCACGTCATAAAGAGTAATTTCCATTCCCAGAAGGGTATTATCCTAGACGAGATGCAGCTAAACGGTTTCAGAAATAGATGTAAAATCCTGCAAAGTCTCAATTATTTGCCAAATCTTGGCTGATCAAGCAGTACTGAGGGCAAGGCCTTTGGGAATGGTACCATAGATTCCAGTCCTCAAACCTACATCTCGGTGACATCAGTGCTACTGAGAAGATTTTTATCTGCCTTGCGGTTTTGTTACAGGGTCTCTTACTCATCTGTGGAATCCCAAGGCCTATTAAGGTCTGTAGTTGTTCCCAGCTCAGTGCTGGAGCAAGAGCTCTGGCCTCTGGTTAACAGCACACACCTGCCCAGGAGAAAGAGCAGCAATCACACAGGGATCTCCTCCTCACTTTGCACAGGGAGAACACGGGCCAGTCTAGGATTAGCCCCTTACTTAAAATGCATGTCCTGACCAATTACCTTCACCGATGGTTTTTTATCTACAAATATAGCAGAAACGGGTAGCTACAGTGCCAGTAACTGCATGCAAAGTCATTACATCAGTTTCACTAAAAATAGCACCAGCAGTTCCTCATTTTCTAATGTGATTACCCAGTGTCTAACAAGCATATGCCAGCACTAGCAATAATCCACGGAGCAGCTGCCCATACTTCACTGTCCACTCAAGTCTCCTCTCAGACGCAAACAGGCTGAAGGCTGAGCTCTAAGGTGGACAGGAGAGGTGGAAGGCTGTGCAGTCATGGCAGGCATTGAAAGCTGAGCATGGCCAGCCCTGAGCACTCGCACCGACACCCTTGTCTGTTGTATTGCAGAGAGCAGACGTTATTCCAGGCGCTGTGAAAACAGCACTCAGACCTTGCAAAGCACTGGTTGTAACTGCAGGTGAGCAGAGGGAAGGAGTGTCTTGTTAAACTCAGTGCCTTTAGAAGAGCGATCAGAAGTTTCTGTTCATTTAGGACTGGAAGAAATCAAAGCCTTTTCATTCTCTCCTTGTAGCTAGCATTTCCTTACAATATTCCAGAGCATTACTTGGGCTGTCTGCTTCCCTCTGCTTGTTTCTGGGCTTCTCTCTCGCTCCCCATCTCTCCCCATCTCTCCCAGGCAACTACAAAATACCACCGTATGCTCTGAATCCAACACTTGCTCCACTGCAGTGAGTTAGGTGAGGACTCAGATCTTTTCCAAATGCCCCACCTCCCAACTCAGTTTCTTCCTCTCCTGGCTTTAATTAATTTACAATAATAATATCCAGGGATCAGCCACTGCTGTAGCCATTAAAGTGTTAAGGTATGTGAAAAGCCATTAAGAGTGCAAACATGGAAAAGAAAAAGGATTTCTAATATATATAAATTGATGTACAGTTTTGCATACAGACCTCTGGTAATGGCAGTTAACACTGAACTTTATTCTGCATACTAAAAGGTAACATCAGTCATTCTTACACACACGATCACTGTCATTGGCCAAGATACTCTATCCCAAGACACTCACTATTTTACAATAACCACTGTTCCCTTTGTTACCAGTAACATCTGCTACATGTAAAAGAGAACAGAAGGAAGAAAAACTAAACCAGACTTTAAGAAGCAATAAAAATAGGACACTCGATTGACAAAGGCAATTCACGTACCATGAATTTTGTTTTAGAAAAGGTTGATC